AGGTTGTAATACAGTAGTAACAGGCTGGTTTTTAACTTCTTAGAGGCGGGGTCAAAATTCTCATTTCTGTCAAATCCCTATAACAACAAATTCACATCTCTTTGTTTCACGGAAACACGTCTTCTAGATTTTGCAACCAGTTGTGTATTCGTGAAGAACACTGGCACTTTGACTTTTCGTTGCTGAACCATATTGTCCGATAAAATTGCATGGTGTCTTCTGCAAGCGTATTGTAGCGTTGCAATACGTCTGGACCATCCTGATAACTGTCAGGGCCTAGTGATAATCATTAGAAAGTGTGACATAACCAAATGAAACGACTAATACGTACGATAGACGCCCGTCAGGACTGCGTAAATGTTTCTGTTGTCATCCTGATCTGAGCGGACTAAAGCTGTAAGTGCAATGTGATCCCCTGTATATAGCGTGCTACTAGTGAGACAACGTTTCGGTATAGAGATTTAGATATCATTTTACTTTTCCGTGCGTAGATTTCTTAGTGAAGTACTTCATTGTTTAATGTTCGATACTGAAACAAATGTATGACCTTTCTCTTTTTGAACATGAAAGAGAGACAGGTTCCCTTACTCAGTTCTGTAAGCACCTTCACTTTCAGCATTTTCTGAATGCCAGAGTACTGGCTCTAAAAAATGAATAGTTTCTATTTTTTCTCTCGAAGTTTGTGCGTTTATCTGGCAGCTTAAGTTTTAGAGTTTCGGCTTCCAAAAAACCAGATGATAGGGTATTGTAATTAATGTATGCTCAGCGAGTTTCTCTATGAGTACGAATGTTCGTTTCTTAATCTCCACGTTCAGTTAGGTAACCTGTGCTAGGAAGAGGAAATAATCATTCCTTACATTTTCATTCCCCTTAGCCCTCATTATGCCTGGAAGACAACGCAGCCGCTCGCAGTTCAGTTGTGGTTCTTGCTTTTTCTTAAAGCAGTTTTCTCTGTATCGTAGAATAACACTTGCCGGAAGCTGTCAAAGTGCGTAAGGTTTTTCATGGGCGAAGTAAGTCGTTTCTCAGTCCAAGTATTGGACAGGTTTGCACAAGCACATCAAACTGCATAAGTTCTCCAGTTTAACTCTATTTAGATTGTGTTATCACTGGAGACGATGAATTCAAAATTAGTAAATTATTGTGCCTCCTGAACTTCTTCCATCTGTATTT